TTGAATTGGCGATACGAGCGAAGCTTCGGAGCGGAATTAAGTGAATTAGTGTGTTTAATTATTAGTGTTTTAACTTTTAATTTGTGTAAAGTAAATTAAAGTGTTAATTTAGGTAATTTTATCGGCAATTTTTATTGTCACGAACCTGAAGCTCGTAAAAATTGGTGTCAGAAGTGGGATAAAATCATGCCGATTTTACCTAAGGAGGAAACGGAGGGTGTCCGTACCCGAAGTCAACGCCAGCAGGAGACGGACCAAAGAAGATTTGATGGTGCAACGCCTCACACGTCGGAGGGCCAGTCGCCGGCTGCAGGCCCGTCAGTAGCTCCTACATCTGCAGCACCCGACTTAGGTGCTCTGATGGTGATGCTGCAGGAGCAGGCTCGCCGACAAGAGGAACAGGTCCGTCAGTTAAAAGAGCAGCTGCAGAGCGGATAAGAGGAACAGCTCCGCCGACAGGAGGAACAGGCCCGTCGGTTGGAAGATCAGCAGGCGGAACAGGCTCGTCGGTCGGAAGAGCAGATGCTCCTCATGAAGGACCTTCACGCTACCTTTGGGAAAGAGATAAGGGAGGTGAAGGATAGGGTTGCTCAACATGACAACCGCCTGTCGGAAGCTGAAACCCGAATCGAAGAACATGAAACCCGAATCAACCATGTGAACAATCGGGTTGACAACGTGATGGCTGACGTGAAGAAAACGCTGAACGACCTCAAACTTGGGGATGGAACTACAGCTCCCGTAGTAGCTACAGAACCTTCGCTACGTGGGTTCAAGGTGCCACCGTTCGACGGGACTTCTTCCTGGTCAGCCTACAAAATCCAGTTCGAGGCCGTAATGGAGGCAAACGGCTGGAATAAAAGCCAGGCCATGACTGCACTCACCTTAGGCCTGCGCGACCAAGCCTTAACCGTGTTGGAAGCTCTCGGTAAGAAAGTGACCTACGAGCAGCTCCTTGAGGCATTGGACGCCAGATATGGCGACGTTCACCTGGAACACGTCTTTCGTGCGCAGCTTAAAGATCGCGTGCAGCGCAGCAACGAAAACCTGCAGCAGTGGGCCCTTGAGGTGGAGAAGATGGTTCGAAAAGCATACCGGTCTGTACCTGCGCTCATTGAAGGGAACCTGGTGCAGACATTCATCGACGGCATCCGTGACCTGAAAGTCAGAGCTGCTGTGAGGCTCGGGCACCACGAGACGCTTAAGGACGCCTTGGCCCATGCACTGGAGGTGGAAGCCGTGCGGCAGGATCGTTCCCATCGCATCAGGGAGGTTGCAGCAGCTACACTTCGCGACCGCAACAGAGGATACAGCCCTAGGTGCTATGGCTGTGGGGAAAGGGGCCATATTTGATCAAGCTGCCCTAAGCGAACCATAGAAAGGGAAGGTGAACGATCTCAGGAGGGTAGTGCGGCCAACAGCACCGCCCAGCAGCAGCAGGGAAACGAGTAAAAGCCAGAACTGCGGGGCGGGTGCTGGCTGATGTTAAAAGAGCCCCAAGGATCTCGATCTCACAAACCCATGATGGGAACAGCCTAATCATAAAGGGCGAGATCAACGGAATGCCGTGTAAGCTGACCATAGACACTGGAGCCTCTCGTATGGTTGTTAGTTCCCAACTTATAAGTCAGTTCCTTGGAAACCGAGAACGCATTAATTTGGTAACAGCCACCGGTCAGCGTATACCCGTCCGTGGAGAGAAGGAGATGGAGTTGAATTTAGGCAACGTGATCTACCTGCATAATGTCATCGTGGCTGATATAATGGACGACTGCATCCTAGGCCTAGACTTTATGAGGAATAATTGTTGTGAGATCGACGTTAAGCAAGGTGTTTTGAAATGTGGACAGGAGGAACTTTTATATATTATTTTTCCTGGTCACATACATATAATTTTATTTAACACGTTCATGCACGCATACCATAATAGTCAACTTATAGGCCGTGGCGCATGATTACTCCATACAAAGTTTGAGGACGTCCATACTCGTATCGCCGTATCACAAACAAAATATTGCATATGACTTGTCGGTAACGTCAGTAAGCGTTGACGTTCAAGGACGCACCGGTATATTGCTAAAATTATTATCCATCAAAGGGGCAACAACGTTTAGGTACGTCTACGTTACCAGCCGTTCTGTTCCGATTTGTGGGTATTTTAGACCTTACAGATTACAAGAACGTCGTTAAACGTCAATGTCGGTACACGTTCTGCTTTCATCTCTAGACAAGATCCCTACACTATATTCAACAACGTTTAATAACGTCAACGTTGGGACACGTTCTGCTTTAATCTCTAGTCAAGATTTCTACACTATATTGAACAACGTTTAACAACGTTAACGTTGGGACACATTCTGCTATAATCTCTAGACAAGATTTCTACACTATATTGAACAACGTTTAACAACGTCAACGTTGGGACACGTTCTGCTTTAATCTCTAGACAAGATTTCTACACTATATTGAACAACGTTAAACAACGTCAACGTTTACAGCCGTTCTGTTACTAGTTGTCAAATATTGATACCATGATAAGAAAGCAGCGTCAATGCACGTTGACGTTCATAACTGTTGTTCCACAAATGTCTAGTAGAACTTAAAGTTTTGGGAAACAACGTTTAATTACTCCAACGTTACTTGACGGTCTGATCATAAATCGACTATACGAGCAAATTATCTGTCGCTCATCGTTTCGTGACGTTGACTTTAATTTATAAAAATAAAATAATAAACAGGATTTGATATGGAATAATACTCAATAATCATCAGTTTTTTGTTATATATTTTTAGAAAATCAACTATTTTTCAAAAATTACCTACATATCACATTTTGTGTCAATATCTACCCTCTTCTCGACTTAATTGAAAATAATTTAGGTGCAATTGTCCATAAATTTCTTCCAAGTTTTAGTTTAATAAAATTTACTTTTACTTCCTATCCTATGTGTGAGTAACTTTTTCAAATTTTACGCTATTATCACATATCGATCAAATAATACTATGGTAAGTTTGGTTTATCCCATAGAAGTAACGAATTATTTCTCAAAATAAACAGTTTCTCACTACTATTTTATCAATAAATTACCACTATAGCACAATAACAATCAGTCTTACACAGTTTTGGTATAACATTGGTAGCAAAAAATTATAAAAATTATAAATACTCACTTACTTTTACCTACCTATCATATGAATGAGTAACCTTTTAACATTTTACGCTACTATCACAAAATCAAATAATAATCTGGTAAGTTAGGTATTTTCTATAAAAGTAACAAATTATTTCACAAAATTAACAGTTGCCTGCTTCTACCTTATCAATAGATTACCAGTATAGCACAATAACATTCAGTCTTACACAGTTTAGCAGATTTAGTATAACAATCGTAGCAATAAATTATAAAACTTCTAAATACTCATATGCATGATACAGTTATACTTATTTGATATCACTCTCATAAAAAGGAACAAAATAGGTAAAAAAGCATTATACTTCTTTGTGCCACTCTTCGAAGCAAAGAGCACACAGTGCTGGCTTTTCAGGGCAACCTTTACATCTCAGGCAAGTCTCCCTTCTCACCTTTTTTTTCGTGCACATCTTGCATTTCAAGTACTTTGATGTTTTGTTTGAACCCTCTTGCATGGGTATTTTCTCAGGCCAGTGACCATGGACTCTTGAGCTTCCGACGTCGTCGTCAATGGTACTGACTGGAAGTGGCAATAAATTAGCTCTGATTCTGTTGTCATATTTGCTGCGAGCTAAAATCACTTGCTCTGCTGTTAAATCTGCTGGTAAGTCCAACAGTCTTCGAATCAAATCCTCTCGGAAAAGCAAGAAATCACAATTGGCTTGGCAGTTTTTTTTTGAAAATAAAAAATGAGTTCCATACTGCGACATCCAACAAGTGGAACATCACTTTTTTATACCACCGGATTGATTTCCTTGGTGAGGAGTAATATGAGATCATTTGATCTGCTCTATCAACTCCGGACATGTGTTGATTGTATTCTGCCACTTCTGCGGGTTTAATTTTTCTTTGTTGAAATCTGTTTTGTATTTCTAGTTCTATTATAAGCCGAGGATGAACTGAAGTCGTTACCATAAGAACTGGTCGCTTGTCAACCCATTTTGAAACATAGACCTTATTTTTTCGTACCCACACATGTTGATTCTTCTTGAGTTTTTTCTTAATGATGTCTTTGGGATTATCTTTTCTGTTTGAACGTAAGGTACCTGTGGTGTGAGTTTTTAAGTCAACTAGCTTTTGCGAAAGTGTTACGGAATTTTAATAATTATCCATGTATAATTGATTTGAATTGTCCCTTCAGCAAATATGGCCTCATGAGACGAAGGACGATCTTTTCAGATTTTTTTGCCAGTTCGAGCAGTTGTGTCTTTTCCGGAGTACATCATTATATTTAAAACATAGCCATCAGAAGTTGTCAACTCGAAGAATTTGATTCCGTAACGTACTTTTTGCTCTTTATATATTGTCTGAAGGCAAGGCGGCCTCTAAATAAAAGCAAAGATTCATCCAAACTTAACTGTTTGTATGGCTTATAGCACTCCATGAAGCTCTTGGTAATAGCATTAATAAATTTTTCAATTTTATCTTTTCCTTTTGAATCTAAATCTGATACATAAATACATCTCAAGATTTGCTCAAATCTTCGAGCGGACATCACATAGTGAAAAATTGGGTGATAATACAGTGGGTCGGAATACGTAAAATTTTTTGCGTTTTTGAGGTATTTTGATTTGACCCATAAGCAAACATAATCCAAAAAATTTCAAGATTTCTTCCCGGTTTGTGTCCCTAAAGTTATAGCTACGTGAGTTTCGAGTAGTAGGTCTTGTTTTCTCGCATAGTGCTCGCCCGTACGTATTAGTACATGTTACAATATAGTCTACAATATTAGGATTAAGAATTTTATCAAATATTTCCATAACTGTCATAGCTGGGTTGACTTCAAACTGGACACCTGCTGAACTTTCATCAAACTCGAACGAAGGTATGTCTGTGTATTATCAGTGGAGGAGTGCTTGGTCTGCAATTGGTCGCTGGACTTATCTCGGGGAGTGTGTCAGGCACGGAGTTTCTTTCGGCGGCCTCTGGGTCCAGCACATGACAGATAGAAGGGTTGCGTTGTACAAATGCTTCCCGATCCAAAGCAGATGGACTGGTAGGCGCAGAATTCGTTTCGGCAGCATCTCGTTCCGGCACAGGAGAGCCGGACAAGCCACGCTCTGCAACTACCTCCAGTGCAAGTGTGCTGGCCGGAGTTGGATATCTTACAGTAGCGTTTAGTTCTGGTCGTGCAGAAGAGCTAGGTGAGCGGCACTGCGTAGTTGCGTCCCAGTCCAGGGCAGGAAGGTTGGCTGGCGCGGGATTTTCCTCAGCAGCCTCCCGATCTGATGCAGACGAGCTAGGAGAGCGGCACTGCGTAGCTGCGTCCAGGTCCAGAGCAGGTAGGTTGGAAGGCGTGGGATTTTCCTCAGTAGCCGTTGGATCCGATACAGGAGAGCCAGGAGTGCGGCGCTGCTCAACTGCGTCCAGATCCAGGGCCGATAAGTTGGCAGGCGCGGGATTTCTTTCAGCAGCTGCTGGATCCGGTGCAGGAGATCCAGGAGAGCAGCGCTGCGCAGTTGCGTCCAGGTACAGGGCAGATAATTTGACAGGCGCGAGATTTCCCTCAACAGCCTCCCGATTCAGTGCAGGAGAGCTAGGAGAGCGCTGCTGCGCAGCTGCATCTAGGTCCAATGCAGGTAGGTTGTCATGCGCGGGATTTCCCTCAGCAACTGCTGGATCCGGTGCAGGAGAACCAGGAGAGTGGCGCTGCGCAGCTGCGTCTAGGTACAGCGCAGGTAGGTTGTCAGGCGCGGGATTTCTCTCAGCAGCTGCTGAATCCGGTGCAGGAGAGCCAGGATAGCGGCGCTGTGCAGCTGCATCCAGGTACAGGGCAGATACGTTGACAGGCGCGGGATTTCCCTCAACAGCCTCCCGATCCAGTGCAGGAGAGCTAGGAGAGCGGTGCTGCGCAGCTACATCCAGGTCCAAGGCAGGTAGGTTGTCATGCGCGGGATTTCCCTCAGCAGCTGCTGGATCCGGTGCAGGAGAACCAGGAGAGTGGCGCTGCGCAGCTGCGTCTAGTTCCAGTGCACGTAGGTTGGCAGGCGCGGGATTAACCTCAGCAGCTGCAGCAGCATGGTCGTCTTCAGCACCTTGAATTTGTGGATTAGTATGGGAGTGACTTCCTTCGATATGTGAATAAATTGAGATATTTTCTAATACTGCAGGATCGAGTTGCACTGAAGAGCTTTCAAGATTTTCTATATTATTTAGCAATGCCTCAGAATCTAACGACATAGTGTCGGTACTCTGATCTGCACTGGCGATCTTAGGTTTTTTGTACCTTGATCCTAAAGAGGAACTCTGCCCCTTCTTTTTTCTCTTTCTACTGTCAAAAATACTCTCATCACTAGATTCTGCCGATATCGAATTTGTATCATCCTCGTTGTCATCGCTATCACATACATCCGTGCACTCGCTAAAGCCTTCGGTTCGATCGTCAGAATCAGAGCTGCTACTTACACTGCTTTCAGAGTTTCGTTTACCATGTGACCTCGTTGCGTTGTCCTTGGAACGTTTCTTTAGTTGTTTCTTTTCACGTTGCTTTGTGTGATCACTAACAGTGCTAGTGCTGTCTGTATTATCATCATATCCTGGATCATAGTCGTTATCGGAACCATACTCTCCATCATCACTAAATGGGTCTGGTGTAGATGGCCTTGATGAAGAATCATATTGAAACAACTTCATGGAAGCATTATTACTAATTTGGCGTGATTTTTCCACCTACAACAAAAAACATAGCTATCATCTTATTCAGGACACAAAATTAGAACATATGCGTACATTTGAGATTTTTTTCAGAAAAAAACTAAAAAATATAACTTACGGAATGAGTTTTCCTTGATATCCCACTTGGTCCAGCTTCACATTTTTCTTTGCAACCTACTTCAAATACTTTTTTCTTAGATGGCTTCTTCTGGCCTCTTTTTCTATTTCCCATCTATAAAATTCAAAAATTGCAGCATATATACTATAATGCACTCATAACAACGATCACCATATCCTACAAAACTATAGAAAACGAAAAAATAACTTACGATTACTTTCTCAAATGCACGGCCTGCGAGGGTTTTGTAGCGTAAAACGTGGGTCACTGTACCGGCGCGCAAGCAGACTGGCAGTATGGCGACTCTAACCAAAAACGAGGTTTGTCGACGTTGTTCATGTGTCTATCAATGTGTGTGTGACTTATGTTCAAGTAAGAAAAAAACTAATGTATTGTAGCGCTAGAACTTTGAAAATTTCACACGATGCGGCGCAATGACGTAGCTACCTAAAGATTATACAGAGATTTGACGTTACTAGCCGTTGTGCTTGGAAATTAAAATTTTCTTAGGACGTGATTAGACTATGTGCGTCATCGCGAAGACATCAAATTGGACGTTCTGTGACGTTGTTAGAACGAAAGTGTTAAAAAGGGGAAATTACCTAATTATAAATAATATAATATATTAATCGAATAGGGGGGAACATTACAGTGGCATTAGGCACATTACTCGTTCGTTGGATTGAATGGTCTAAGATATACGCATATATTAGAAAGGTGGTTTTTAACGCACTTTAGCAATACGGGCACCTCAAAACGCCTGATGTGTACTCGCTGTAAGCTACAAACTTGAAGTCTATTTAGTACTTAATGTGTTATGTTATTATGTAAAATAAAATTTAAAATATTTTTTAATTTGGTAACAATATTGTAATTGTGACGGCGCTGTCGTTGTGCCGCAAGCGAAACACACCGAAGCCTAAATCACGCTATTAAAATTCCGAATCATAAACAGTATATATAGAACATCTCCGAACTATCAAACGGAATGTTGGCCGCTCCCTAGGCAGAACACCCTGCCCGGCGGCCGATCTCCCCTTTTCCTTTCACGGCCACATAATAAATAAAGCCTACAATTATCATACTCCTAATACTCTGCGTTCATCGCATTATCTTGAAGTTTAGTTTTCTGAAGGTTTCACTTATACCATGTATGACCTGCACACATTTTTTTTATAAACTACATAGGTGCATTTTAAATACACAATTTCTTGAGAAGTGCTTTTTGCGGCTGTGCGTTTTTTTTTTTTTAATAAATAAACTCCAAATTCGTAGACTGGAGTGGTGGGGTGGGGGGTAATTAAATGTCGTGTCTTGATGTTGGCAAAGTAACTTAGCGCCCTTTCATACATTTACTTTTACTATTTTTTTGTGCCCAGAAGCGAAGTAAAGAGCTATCCTCCGGGAAGCGTGGGAAAAAAGCGTAGGAAGCGACGTGGAAGGGTGGTGAATGTTCTAAGCACTTTCGGTTACGTTCGTACGGTTACGGTTACGGTCGGTTATGTGGGACTTACTGAAAAACATCAGTGCCTACCCACTAAACAGACTGGCTTTGGCCTGGTAAGGCTTTTCAGCCTTATCGGAAGCGACCCCCCTTGAGGGGAGAGGGGCGCAGGCAGCGAGTAGCCGCTGAGAAGTGTGCCTAACTGAGGCAGATTACAAGATGAAATGGGGGGGGAGTCTCAGCCTGAGCCGCCAGGAGGCAGTTTAGGTCGGCCGAAAGCTTGTTGGGAGGGTCCGGGAGAGTTTCTCGGCCTGCGAACTCGATAGTGAGAGGGAAGTGGAGCTGTATAGAAAGCTGCCTCACGAATGAGATGAACTGAGTGAGACTCTGAGGCTCCGAAGAAGTTCTCAGAGAGTGATTTTAGGAATCGTGAGGAGCTCTAAGTCTCGGTGAAGGTCGGTGTTATGGATGAACCAGGGAGCCAGTGGGTAGAGGATGTCGGAAGAGAGGGTGATGGGGGTCCGGAGAATCCATAGTTGAGGCTAGGGACTTCCTGAAGCCCTTCCACTTGGTGTAGGTTTTGGAGGAAAGTGTTGGAGGAGGTAGCTGATGGCCAAGGATGAGGGATACAGGACGGTGGGCAGATCCAAGGTCATCGAGTGGCTCGATTTCTCTGAGGTTAAAGCAAACTCCTCTTTCTAGCGAAAAGTCTAGCATATCAGGAGCATGGTCGACAATGTCGGGATAGTGGGTGACAGCGAATGGGCTGTAGACGGTCAGGTCGAGAGTCTGAATGATATCAAGCAGTACCACTACTACTAGTAGTAGTGAGGCAAGTCCATTCAGTACGCTTGGAGTTAAAATCTCCAAACATAATGACTAAATAAATAAATAAATAAAGCAAGAATGGCCTCGAAATCGCTCGTAAGGGGAAGGTTCCGCTAGGAATATAGTTGGAGGCTATGATGATGGACTGATGTCCAGTCAAGGCTATCCTACAAATCGTGGCTTCCATATCGGTAAGCGGAGGAGTGCGGATGTGGGAGCAGTGAAGCAACTTCTTGTAGTAAATGGCAGTACCGCCGCCTTGGCGGTCAGATCTGTCATCACGTAGAAGAGAATACTTATCATAGATACATAGATAAGAAATAAGGAAATATGCCCAGTAGTTCAAAAGTATCGGAACCCGTCGTCTCCAGTTGGAGACAACGGCTAGGGGACGCGCCAACTACTACGTATGCAGATCAGTAAAAGCAATGGATACACAGTCGCGCACACTCTCGCATTTTATAAATTAGAACGTACTACACGATCAATTATAAATCATATCTCTGAAAGCACAGCGTGTATTTTCCATTCACCGTGCTACTTACTAACACAAAAATATCGGTCACTATCGTTGTGCCGTTAAAAAGCCATTTATTTTACATATGCGTTAGTGATTGACTAAATTGGAAAGTTAACGATTGTATCATTTATAATAAAATTGTACTAAAATTTTTTTGGGCCCTGAATATAAAATAAATAAAATACCATATGTCCAGAGAATAGTGTAATAAAAGTAATTAATATGTAGGTAAAAATGCAATAATAACCTAAAATTTAATCAACTTACTTTACGAAGTCAATAATAATAAAAATTGATCACAATACTCCTTCGAAGTTTTATTTTTGGTACCATATTGTACATACAATTTTTTATTAACAAACTATATGGGTATATAATTTAAATAATATAATTTAAATCTCAATAATATAATTTAAAGCATTAATATTATTGAGTTATACTATTTAAAATACGTGTCAGTAATTTTTTATTTTATATATACTCCAAATTCGTAAGCTGGGGCAAGGGGCACAAACTAATAAGAGTACAATGGTTCATAAAAGATAGCTTGATCTCTGCAACAGCTGTCAGTAATAATGACGCCTATGAAGTCCTGAATTTCATAGTAGTGCGTACAGACAGTACCTGTCAATGTCATACTTTATGGGCATGCCATATAGATATAATACCTATGGAGGCGGCGTATTCTACTATAGAAATAATAGTTATACAAATATCTATAATATCGACACACACTTGTCAAAAATACATTTGTTTTTTTTTTTTTAACAAAGCAGTAGCTTCATTAGAAAAGGGAGACAACAACAGTTAGTCAATTGCTTATTTTGACAACACTTTCGTGTGACGTCATTAGCTCATCCATGCGTGACTGCGTCGCCATGTCAAACGCTGAGTTTTGTGGTAGATCTGCTGTCAAACTGTTGTATGCTAAAAGTTTTTTTGTTGTGTAGTGCAGCACCTTCATCTTATCTTATAGTAGTTGTTTTTCTTCTATTTATATTTTATTATGTCAAATAAGTGTCTTACAGTTTATTTCAAGTGTTATGGTAGGGATGTATTTTTTAATTATTACTTTATGTAGGATGCATAATTTTGTAATATATTTAGCCAATAAAAAAACTGCTAAGAAGTTTTGTAATTATTAAAAATCACATTATATGTATGTTTGTCGCTACTAGTTGCGGGAGAAAAAACAAAAACTTTCAGGAGTGGTCTTCAGTATGCTTCTATTAGAGTCGTTATTTAAATTATTAAAAAACCTTATCAATTGCTGTATTAGAATATATTGCGGGATTTGTGGCTGAAAAAGTTTCAGATACCATGCAAGAAGAAGCAGTGACAAACTGTCTTATAGAAATTATATTAGAAAATAATTTTGTTCAGAAATAAATAAATAATAATAATAGTTTAAAAAAATCTATCATGATCATGAAACGGTGGATGCAATATGATATCCAGGATGTTATCCTGCATATCATATTTCGTGATCATGCCAGATTTTCGAATTTTTCGAAATTTGATAATATTTTTCATTTAAAATCCGAATGAATAAATAAAATATGATATACAACTTGCTTGTATAACTTACTATTTGTGATGAATTATGTGCAGAAAAATTAATAATGAAAAAGTATTGATTTTTAAAACAGTTTATTTCATTTTTACTCAACTAATCATTATTATTTTTCATTAATAATATGGGATCTGGGATCACCATCAAAGTAATACTTTCAACACAAAAGAAGGATTTAATTTCTATCTACACAATAGCCATAAATCAGTCAGGCACATTTATTCGCCAGATTAGTTATTTGACGATTGAAAATTCAGCCCTGTATCTATGTCAATACCTACGGAATATAGTAAATAAGCAACAAATCCAATTATATAAAATGAGAAAAAAATTCATATTAGTTAAAATATCGATATCAGCTGCGCATATTGCAGAGTTACAACCCTATAAAAGGCGGCCATTTTATGCGCCAGATTTTTGTAGGTAGTCACGCTAATTTTGTAGGTATGCCCAGTCCATATACCTCTAAGTCAGCGCGTGGTGTATACAGAAACGT